CTTCTCCTTGGCTAGATGGAAAAAGAGGATCGACCGGGTTTTCGAGCGCAGGTTTTAGAGCGGGAAGAGGAAGAGTGCGAAGGATAGCGCGAAACAGGTCCAAGATTCAGATGATCAAGAAAGAGAAAAAGGGCGCGCGCGGGGAAGGAGGGAGAACAACAGTTACAGGGGGAGGGAGCGAGAAAGCATGTGCGCGCAAGGGAAGGCGCTGAGAGGAGTGCGAGAAGGAAGGAGGAGGGAGCTCGCTTGCATGGTGCCGAACAGCAAAAGAAGAATGGGCACCGGAACAGTTGCAGTTTTTCCAGTCCTACACTAATTCAAAATTTGAAACCACCATATCCGCGCGAAAATTAGACGCGGGAAAAGAAAGAAGGTCCTACGCCCATCCCTATTCCTACAAAATTCCCAGAGTTTTCCATGTCGAGGCCGAGAACATTCGTGCGTGAAAGGACACACCGCGTTCCGTTAATTTTGGAATTCCTAACTGTCGAGCCAAATTCCGAGCGCGCTCACTAAGGCGCGCGTAGTTCCCGTGGATTTCCAAATAATAAAAAATGACGGAATTTCAAGAACTACTAGTGCTGACAAACGAGGTACCCTTAATCGAACAACTACAGAGGGGAGGTTTTCGGGGGCCGATCAAGACCCATCTAGATGCAGAGAAAACACGGGAAGGAAAAGGGGTCCGAAAGATGGCGCAGGTCCGAAAGCTGGTTCGTCACACGCACTGGGTTTTGGTCGAAACGGTGGCAAAGCAGCAGCAGGGTGGAAAAGTGGAAAAGTCTGAAATCGGAAAGGGCGCGGCCTTGGCCGCAGGTTGAAATGTATGGGGACCACAAGAAGTGAGACAAGTCCTCCTCTTGAAAGGGGTATGCTATCCACAGGCGAGAAGATTTCTGAGGTGGACCATGATGGGGTCTGCGTCAGAACTGTGAATGGACATGCAGTCGCAGTCCCCTGCTGACCAGTGGCTCGGGCCGGGCCGGTTAAGCCCTTTTATCTTTCTCGTCTATCTTTCCCTTTTTTCATTGTAAAACTCATGCTTGGAGACCCCCAGAATAGAAGGGGCAGTGTGTGTGTGTGTGTGTGTGTGTGCAAGGGGAAAAAAAAACAAAAAAACAAAAAAACAAAACAAAAAAGGGGTAGTCTCTGACCCAGCATAGGGTAGCTACCTCGGTGGAGGCGAACTGTTAGTGATGTTGCCTGTAGGGGGGGGGCATTATTACGATATACAACCTTTTTTTTTTTTTCCCAACTATAATTTCATAGGTTTGCTCTTGGTCCACTCCCACTCCGCTGGGTCGAATGGTGGAGCTTTTTAAATTAGAAAATAAAAATAAAAATGGTTGAGCTTCTATTCCGAGGTAGCTGACTCGTAGGCCCTCCAAGCCTCGTCAATATTCCCGGGGCCGAGTCCCAATTACGCTGATCCTTGATTTCTGGTCGTTGATCTTCCGAATCTGCAGTCAGAAATCGATCATTCGGGTAAGTGGGACTTGGCCGCCGGAGTTATCCTGGCTGAGCCTCAGCCAGTTCACCTTACGAGCAAGGTTTGATAACCAACCAACTGCTCAAAATGTACCATCAACCTGCTGGAAACGGCGTCCAGCGTCCCCTCAGAGAGAACAATTTCCATCAGAATGGGGCCCCGGGTTGCACATTCTGTGTTGCCGTGGTACCGTCAAGAATGTGGAAAACTAAAAAGAGGAAGTTTGAAAAAAAAAAGTCCGGTACCGGGTTGCCCAATCCAAATCGCGACGGCCTATTTCTTCGTGAGAGAGAGAGAGAGAGACAAATACCTTGGTTTGGATTTGGATGTCTTCGTGGAATGTCCCCGAGAGAGTGGCCTTGGGGACTTCATCGCACTGGAATCATCACTCCGAGGATCGATTGGCTGGTCGTCCTGTTTCTCATCTTCCTCACTGGGCTCCCATGGGCGACCTTCTCTTGATGTGCCCGACCGGTCGGCTGGAAAGGAGTGGCCACGCCGCCGCCGCCTAGACGGCCTTCTCCTGTCCTCCTTGTTAGTCCTCTTATCCTTTTTACCGTCAGCTTCAATGTCCGCACTGACACGTGGCAGTGCAAGTTCCGTTGCAGGTGAAGCTACAGGTGAAGCTACAGGTGAAGATTCAGGTGATGGGGCGAATGAAACCGTACGAGCAAATGAAGCAGTACGTGGAAATGAAACTTCGCGTGAAGATTCAGGTGATGCAAATGACACTGTACGCGCAGCTACGACGTAATCATTTGACACCACAGCTTCGCTGTCACTGCCACCAACGAGGACAGCACGATCGTCGGCGGGATCAACGGTCGCGCTCCCAGCTATCTGCTCCTTCCTGATGGCCTCTCTCTCCCCTTCTTCTCTACCTCGATCTCCTCCTTCCTGGTGGCCGATCCCTGTTGTTAATCCGTTATCTTGACCGTTAGGCTTTTCCGTTTGCAGCTGTGTCTGATCGGGACGCAAGTTGGGTGACTGCAGGTCAGTGCTACAGTCCCAATCACTTGGGGAAAGCTCCTCCTCCTCCTGCCGTCGCTGCGTGTCATTTACTTTCTCTCCCTCCTTCTCTCTCCCTCTCCCTTTCTCTCTCTCTCTCGCGTTCTCCTCCGTCGTCGTAAATACTTGTGCTTTCCGTTTGCCAAGCCGTTGGGACGATGTCTGACCTCTGCCGACTTTTCCCACTGCCACGTCATCACCACTGACAACACGTGTCATCGCGATCGCGATGGCGACCTTATCTTCTTCGGTCTCCTGTCGGGACTGCCCATCGGATGGGGGGGCGGGGGGAAGCTTGTGCTTGTGCATGTCCACGTCATCCTCCTCAGTGGCTTGAGGGCTGGAAACGGAAATATTACCAGATTTAGAAAGGGACCTCTTTCCTCTCGCTCTCCTCTGCTTCTTCTTGATCTCTTCTCCTCTGCGACGGCGCGCTGCAGAGACGCGGGGATTGGATTCGACTTCCGTCCTCCAAAGTTGTTGCAGCTGGCTATCCCAAGTACCATCTGCAGCTGCACTAAACCCACCACCTCCCTCTCCCAACACTCCAGCTTGGGGGGGGGCAGTTGCAGTTGCACCGATCTGAACACTCGCTGTGTCCCTCCCTCTCTCCCTCTCCCTCTCTCTCTTCTCTCCCCCTCCCCCTCTTCTTCTTCTCCCATCTATCCCTTTCCTGTCTACCATATGCCCGTGCAAGCTAAGTCCATCGGATCTGATCTCCTCCTCCTTCCCCCCCCCCTCCTCCTCCTTCTCCTTCTTCTCCTTCTCCTCCTCTTTCCCCTCCTTCTCCTTCTCCTTCCCCGTCTCCTTCTTGTCTCCTCCCCCCCCCACTTTTCTTCCCTCCACCTCCCTTTCCCTAGCCTGCCCATATGAAGAAGACTGCCGGCCGCCGCCCCCCCCCTTCTCCCCCCCTCCTCTACCCTTCCATTGCTTCTCGTCGCGATACCGACTCCTCTGCATATGCCTCAGCTTGGCAGGCAGAGGAGGAGGAGGAGACGGAGGTAATCTCGTTACCGCGGACGGGGAGGCCAGCGCCCTGCTGTCCACCATAGTCAATCCCGATCCTTGATGACGACGAGCGACGACTTGATGCCCACCGGCATTCTCTCTCCCTTCTCTCCCTTCTCTCCCAGCGCGCACCGGTCTACCTCCCCCCCCCCGCTCCCCTCCTGGGACCACAAAGTGACTCGCAGCGGCGGCGAGCCGCCACGTGGCCACCGTCCTTTGCTCCCCAGCCATGGCATCTTGTCGTTTCTCGCTCGGGACACCAGGAGATCGGCTCTGGTGCTGCTGGGCAGAGGTCACCTTCTTCTCCTCAACAGCCACTCCCACCGGTCGGCCATGGTATCTGTTCTTGGTCGGCTTTCCGCCATCTCCCTCGGCCCTTGTTTGGGTGTTATCATGAACTTCTGCTGCGCGCCGACTAGAAGACTCAGGTTCTAAGACGGCACCCATGGCATCTTTTGCTGGCTGGGGCTTTTGCCACCCAAGCACAGAGATTAATATGATCCCAAGATTAAAAAAAAAAAAGAAAAAAAAAAAAAGATGATAACGGATTAGTTAGCAGGATCAGCAGCAGCTATGGAGGAGGAGCAGCTATGGAGGAGGAGCTATGGAAGAGGAGCTATGGTTGCGGAGAAGACAATGTGCAGTCTCCTTGATGACCAGAGAAAAAAAAAGAGACGGCCATACTTTTCCTGAGCGACTGCGCGGCTCGAAATATAGATTGATTTTTTTTGTCTGTCTGTCTGTAAATTTCGTGGCGCAAAGAGAGAGAGATACCGTCTCTGGCTCTTCACCATCGGGTACACATCCTCTGTCTGTGGTGTAGCGCGGGGATTTGAACTCTCGACTCGTTGTTCTGCAGACATACAATCCGAGCAAATTCACGGATAATGTTAATTTCAAATGCAATGGGCATGCATGATTAATTGGTTATGCATGGGATATGGTTTCCATTATCAATAAAATGGAAATGAAATAAAAAGAGCAAGAAAATCATAAAATAATGATAACAAAATAATAAAGAGCAAGAAAATAAGAATAAGAAGAAGAACAAGAACATGAATATGAATATGAGACGAGTTCTGATGTGTGGCAGAAGCAAATAATATCAGTGGGGATGGTGGGCTGGATTCAGTCAAACAGAGCTGCCCGGTAAACCGTAGGCAGAGAAGGAGAAGAGGACAACAAACGAGGGGCGTATATATTACCGGGCAGTTCTATTTGACGATATATATATATATATATCTGTAGAGTTTTCCATCTGGTGTGGGTGAGTTATAATCTACTTTGATTTTGGTTAAGGTAGATTATCATTTACAGTGTAATCAGTGAGGGGATTCTGCAGACTGTTGAGGGTTCAGCCTCCTGATGAGTTGGTGAAACTCCGACGAAACAGTTTGTCACAGCCCCTCGTTTGTTGTCCTCTTCTCTCTCTCTGCCTACGGTTTACCGGGCAGTTCTGTTTGTGACGATATATATATGAGTCGGTGAAACTCCGACGGAAAAGTTTGACGAAACAGTTTGTCACAGCCCCTCGTTTGTTGTCCTCGACGAAAAAGTTTGACGAAACAGTTTGTCACAGCCCCTCGTTTGTTGTCCTCTTCTCTCTCTCTGCCTACGGTTTACCGCGCAGTTCTGTTTGTGACGATATATAGGAAAGAAGAGGACAACAAACGAGGAAACAGTTTGTCACAGCCCCTCGTTTGTTGTCCTCTTCTCTCTCTCTCTGTCTACGGTTTACCGGGCAGTTCTGTTTGTGACGATATATATATATATATATATATATATATATATATATATATATATAGTCAAACAGAGAGGGAAAGAAGAGGACAACAAACGAGGGAGGGGCTGTCGCAAACTGTTTCTTCGAAGTTTCACCGACTGAATCATCAGGAGGCTGAACCCTCAACAGTCTGCAGAATCCCCTAACTGACTGATTACACTGTGAGTGATAATCCACCTTAACCCCAGCTGTGGTTAAGCATCAACGACTGCCTGACAACTGATACCCCTCTGAGCAGGTGGGGACCACCAACCACTGCCCTCAAGGTACCTGTGGCAAAAGTCAAAGCAGACTATCACTCACCCACACCAGATGGAAAACTCATATATATATTGTCACAAAACTATTGACTAAGAGAGTAAGCATGTGAAGTAGAAGAAGAAATAAGATGAGCGAAGAAAAGAAAAATGAAAGGATAGATAGGCAAAGAGACAGACAAACCAGAATGACACAAAACAGTGTCCTCTTATTCTTTGTTTCACAGTATTATTATTTCTTTCAGTGTTTTACAAAAAAAAATTTACACTGAATCAAAGGATAAAAATAAAAAACAAAGACACATTGAAATCATTCAGTTTCTCAGTCTTCTTAACGCCTCCTCCACTATGCCTCTAACGTACAAGGCTCGCCACGTTGATGAAGTTGAGCGCGAGCTGCCCCCATGTTCACGCGTTCCTGCCATAATTGTCGTTCCAAGCCCAAGTCTTCCCAGGGCCTGCCCTGTGGCAAGCCTGGGTGCCAACCTCCTTGAGGTGCTCTTCCACCTCTTCGTTGTGGGGACCGATTACCTTTTGACCCCTACCTCCCGCTTGGCGGTTTCCCTGTCCGCCAACCCCCTGTGCGCCCGGTCCTCGGCCTCCCATGGCCTAGCCCCTTTGGCCCTGGCCTCCTCCTCCTCCTTGCGGCCTCCCTCCAGCCGCGACAGCAGCGTAAGACCTCCCCTGCCCCACACTACTGCCATCATCTTCAAGGCCCCACTCAATCTGATCATACGGGACCTCATCAGTACCACCTTCCTCTAAT